GGAAGGGGATGGATGGCACACATGCGGAATGGCCAATGGGAGGAGGGGGGAGGGTTCTCCCCGTAAGGACTACGAACCTGTATTCCACAATTGGTTGCAGATCGACTCCGGCGTACCAATGAGAGCCCTGGAGCATTTCCCGGGAGAATTTCCCAGACATGTTTCCCCTGCCCGAGCTGGTGCTGAAGGACCTTCAATGGATTGGCCAGGACCCCTTGACAGCAGTCTGGGGAATATTACGAGTTAGAGATCTCAGAAATGTTGTTGCGTTGGCTTGCTTTATCACGTAGCGGTTGCAGCCCGCCCCAGTGGACTGAAGAGGCGAGATGCAACAGTCCTTTTTGCTTGCGTGTTGTCATCATGCAATCAGATCATTACGCATAAGGGACACTGGACCTGTTTTCCAGCAGGTGCAGCTCCCCACCAATGGACCGGCGCCATCCCCGGGTCTGCTAGTAGATGGGACGGCCAGTATCACCACCACCGCTACCATCTTCACCCGAATAGACATCCTGGTCATTATCACACCATCTGGACTGGAAAATGCCCCAAAAACAGCTATATATTGCACGGGCATTACATTCGTGTGCAGACGGTACTAGCAGCCACTTTTCCTTTCTTTTCCTTATTGGTGGGCACAGTTTCAGAACACGCCTGCCCTCCAGCCAGTTCTTTAAACCACCGGTACTTGGCCCATACATCGCCCGCGGGGCGTTGTCGTTAACGCCCCACAACTTCCGGAGGCTCGGGGTACCGGCCCTCAAAGGCTGGCGCTGCCAGCCAATACAATTTTTTTCCGTTGCGCTGACGGGTCGGCCCGACACAGCCCGCAGCCCGTTTTCAGGCTCGGCATCGACAACTGGGCCAAAAGGATCCCGTCTTTCAACCAATTATCCCCTGCAACGACTTTTCATTTCCTTTCCCTCTAGGGGTTCTTCAAAGAGCACACACATGTCGACTTCCTACGCCGTCAACAAGGCCAACCCAAGAGGTACGCCATCTAGAGACACAAGACATATGGAACGAGTCCGCACCACGACTCTGGGCTGGCCTCCTTTTGAAAGAAGTCCATCACACTCAATTGGGTGCCTTCTTCACAGACTTCAGAGCCTGTGTTTGCCGATCCTGAATTCCACTGCGCTCGGAGTTTTACCGAGCCTGGTTCCCACTCCATTTTCTTAGTGGTACTCTCACGGGAAGAAGAAAAATAAATAAATAAATAAAAATTGCAGCTGTGAAATTCACTAAACGAGAAAACAAGCAAAAGGAAACAAAGCTCTGGCCGTGATTGCTGTTGTATACATTCTTGGAAGTGGTAGTGTGAGTGTGCCCTCAGTGAGGGCATATCAGCCCCGTGGCCAGGTCGTCAGATTCCAGAAACAGAAAACAGAAAAAGAAAAAAAAAAACAGAAACACGAATTTGGCATTTAAAATGGCTGGATACATTCCTCTAAGTGCCAGTGTGATCAGGGTTGCAATCCTCTGAGGAAACACAGCTCGAGCAGATCACAGACTCAGATTGCCAGATTACAGAAACAGAAAGCAAGAAAAAAGAAACGGAATCATGGATTCGGTCGTGAAAGTGGCTGGATACATTCCTCTCGGTGCCACTGCGATCAGGGTTACAATCCTCTAAGGAAACACATTTCCACCCTGCCTTGTTGGCAGGGGACTCGTAACAAACAAACGAGAAAGAAGGAAAGGAAAACAACAAGTTTCAGAATGTGACCGCCTTTGCTGTAAGATGCATTCTGTAGTTGAAGACTGTGCTCAGAATTTGACCGTCTTTGCTGTAAGATGCATTCTGTAGAGGAAGACTGTGAGCACAGCCTCCTAGACTACCCTGCCCACCATCATTATAGTATAGAAAGCCTTCCCCGCCCCCCTCCCCTTTTCCATTTATGGGACTTGCCGACCCTGGGTCCCACCCCCTAATTCTTTGGGTACAGGCTAAGACTTTTAATTTCCCAACACTGGCAGTTCTACTAGTGGTTTAAGAGAACTAGCCTTTCAACAAAAAAAAAAAAAAAAAAAAAAAAAAAAGCACCATGGCAGAAGTCCGCATGCAGGAGACGAGATTAAAGAACGCACCACATCCTCCCAACACCTTTTGCCTCATCAGTGCATCCAAATCGATTAGGAGTTATGTGGACACCTCACAAGACAGCAGACAGCCTCCAACAAACAGTCAGTGTTTCAAAGCTGCCACAAGTAGACAGTTGTCGTGGTGGGCCCAATCCTAACAACATGGCAGATGACGGTACTTGTTTGCACCATCATCACCAGGTATATGGAAATTTGAAAAACGTCAAGCCTTACCGGAGGCCGGGGACTCTGCATCAACCCACCTCCCGGGACTCGGCATCAACCCCCCCCCTCATCCGTTTTCTTGCTCCCTATAGGTTGATTGGGAATATCGGCAGCCACCACCTTGGCACAGGGAAGGACCGAACAGTCGGGGCCTCTTGAAAACCCTCCTGCAACAAATTGAAAAAGAAAGAAAATGGACCCAATGCACAACCAAAACACCCGAGCTGCGCAAAACACAGGGGGTATCTACCTCCTATATTTTATAATGTCAGCTGTCCTCACCCGCTCCACCGTAGCTCACCCCTATAGTTCTTAATGTGGGACTACGTTCACGGATATAGAACAGAAAGTCCAATCCAAAGATTTGCAGTCTTATTGCAGATACCTCCCTCTCCTTTGCAGCCAGCCACAGGCATTCCTTCTTTCTCCTTTTTCCCCACCCTTCCCTTCGCATCTCTTAAGTTGGGACCATTTTCTGGTCTGCGTGTGCAACTGCACAGACTGCGCACTCCCCTTTTTCTCCAAAGGGTTTATATAACCACCACCAGCAGTTTCGCCAGCCTTTTTTCTCCAACGCGGCTATGCTTGCCCCTCTACTTTCGCGGCACCGCCCACCGGAGCTGAATGGCTGGTCACACCAGTCTCAAAACGAAAAACGCGCCGGTTCTTTTTTGGGGGGGCGCAGAGGGGAATTCGCTTCTCCAAAAGGAAAAGCCTCTAAGCACTGGCGGCCCAAACTTTGACCCAAAAAATTTCATCTGAGCACTCGATGCACATGAAAAAACACGCCGGTTGCGCAGCAAACTGGCATCAAGCGCCCACTCAGAACTCAGAGATATAGTACCAAGAACTCAGTTCAGATACAAGTCCACTTCATTGGGGGGCATGCGGAGGGGAATTCGCTTCTGCAAAATGAAGTCTCTAAGCACTGGTGGTCCAAACTTCGACCCAGAAAATTGCATCCAAGTACTCGACGCACACGAAAATGCCAAACACTGTGGAAGCAAAAGGGGCCCACAGTGCCCCACACTGACCAGACATGGAAAATTTTACCAAAAAATTGGCTCTTTAAAAGTGGCATCGGCAAATCCCAAACAATAACTAGAACAGTTATAGACAGACGACCGACCACAGATGCATGAACAAGCCAATAGGAAGGAGGATTATGAGGTGTGCATCAACCTCTCCAGTTATCAAGAATCATCTGACTACAGTGAAAAAAAGCAAGCAAAGAGACTCATATACCCTTCTCCCCTCCTCATCTGGTGTCATTTCGTAGAGATAGCGGATCTTTCAAACTGTGCTGCTTACCTTTCATTGCAGGGCCAGGGCTAAATCTGGCTGTCGCTATCATACTCGCCAAGGAAGATGCTATCTTATGCTGCAAATTTATGCTCCCATCCTTCTCTGTCTGCATTAGCAGCTACGCCACATAATTACACAAAAGCTTTCGCCAACAAAAAGGTTTCAATCAACCTCGTCGCCTGACATGGATCCGTAAGTGTCTCCTTTATGAACAAAAAAAAACCTTTGCCGCATCCCTCCCTTCCCTCCGGTACACTTGCTTTTGAAGGCGGAACTGAACCAACACCCCCCCCCTTCCCTCTCTCCATCTCCCTTGCTTATGAAGATGGAATTGAACCAGCACAGGCTCGCACAGCCCATATCAACACATCAAATGCACTTTCCTAGCTACTTGCTCTCTTTACATGCAAACAGACATGCTCGCCACATATACCCTCTCCACCGCCCAGACAGGGATCATAAAGCACCACAAAACTGTCTGCTGCCCTATAGACAACCTTGTCGTTGTCCAGAGTGAAAAAAGTAACCCCCCGCCAAAAGTTTGTTTTCAGTCAATTTGGTCAAAATGTGCGGCTCGCACAGTCCATGTCAAGACAAGATGTCACATTACATGCGGTCCTTCGCACCCATGCGGGAAGACATTACTAGATGCAAAACCGCTGCTCACACAGCCGATGTCAGCACAAGGTACCGCTTTACCTAGACCGTTGCCGATGTCAGCACAGGGTATCGCTTTACCCTGACCGTCGCCATTTAGTACTGAGTGCGTCCATCTCCTTCCGTTATCGTATCCTTGAATGATCCTCCACCAGGAATCATGGGCAAGACATGCTCCTGGGGGATGTAAGCACAGACACGAAGACCCAACACAGTGTCCAACCCGACACCGCCACGCACGCACAAAACCACATACACAGACAACGAAGAAAGACACCAATGATCAGTCAAACCAGCGGCAAACCCAGGCTGATGGCAGAGTTTTCTTCCACCAATTTAACATTAAATGAGCCTTCATGTTGCGAGCACTGTCAGCTCTCTCATCCATCCACACTGCCATGACAACTTGAATAGCATCAGGCTCACATCATGCGTAAACATTGGGATTTCGACTATAGCAGTGTTCCTAGCAAGGACACGAAAACAGAAGACATTCCCACAGAAGCCTGGTGGCCCGTGGAGCATCCACCTCGCCAGCCGTAGAGTCGAACAAAAGGCAAAGCAACAATAAAACGGAAGCAATGTCAAGTCAATCCTTAGCAGCTCAACCTCTTTCCTGCCTGTCAAGTTCACAAAACTGTGACTCCATATAAAGTTATAAACTAAACTCACTGGACATTCGGCATCCGGTTGGACGTTACAATGTTCCTCCATGCTCATACGTAACAAGCAAGCAAGATACCATTCTGTGTAGAATTACTACCGTCCTCTCTCTCTCTCTCTCTCTCTCTCTCTCTGCTGTGGATTTCCACAACCGCAGCCCATGTTGCACCCAGATGAGTAGATCCAATACCGATGCAGCTCTCTGTATATGGGTAGAGCATCTACTGTTTTGCAGACATACCGAGAAATGAAGACCAACAGAGAGTTGTGATGAGAAAGAATCACGATAGACAACGAAGGCTGGAGTTATCAGGGGCTCCGAGAAGAAGTTCAGCAGGCTAGGTATGGTCAAAGCCTTGGGCATCTTCCACAACAAAGATTCCAGAGGTACTATGAAGGGTTCAAGCTGCCAGTTCACAAAACACGTTTTTAGGACTTCACAAACACCTGCACAACTGCCCTTACCTGATGTGGAACAATTACGTCCAGGAGATATGGCCCGGGAGTGTCAAGCATTGTCTTAATCGCCTGCTTCAGTTCACTCTTCTTCGTGACACGAGCAGATGGGATCTGTGAGACAAACACCACAATCATCAAGACTCAATCCTGAAACACGTCGACAAACTTCCAGCCGAAAGACGCACACAACAGGACTGGCAACTTGGATTCAGCACCATCTCATAGTCGTCTGAACTTCTGATGCCCCAAAATAGAGTGCCACATTAGAGAGAGAGAGAGAGAGAGAGAGAGAGAGAGAGAGAGAGAGAGAGAGAGAGAGGCAGATGACAATGCCGCTCATGAGTCGCATTTACTCAGGAAACTAGAGATGAAGAGCATGGGTAACTAGAGATGAAGAATCGACATAAAGAGGAAATGTGAGCAGGCGATGAGGAGCTGACACCACCACAATGCATTTCTCCGCCATTTTCATTTGACCCCGCCGTGCACGCGCCGCAACTTTCGGAGCACATCTACTGGAACTAAATGGCTGGCTACTCCGGCTAAACATGAAAACGCGCCGGTTCATTAATTTTGTGTGTGCAGGGCGTTTCCACGCCTGGCACAGAAAGGGTCACAAGTACTGGGGGTTTAATTCAAGAATAGATAGGAAAAGACAGAGAGCGAAGGATAGGCAAACCGGTTAGCGCCTTGAGCCAATGGTGAAGGAAGTGAACTGTGTTGCAATTCATGAGCTGGCCTCAGACTCGGTACCGCACGATGATTTGAGCTAGGGTCAAAGCGACCGTCTCTTGTGGGATATACCCATGCAGAGGAATCCATTTCAAGAACAAGTACTACTACTTTATTAATGGGAGACATGACACGTGGAGAGCGTAAATGGCAGCAGGATTCCTAAACGGACTGCGCTCGCTTAAGGCAGAACTGAGTTTGTCACAGTGTGAGAAAGCTTGTTGCAAGTACTTTGGAACATCCGTTAAAATTGGAACGATACAGAGAAGATTAACATGGCCCCTGCGCAAGGATGACACACATAAATCAAGAAATGGTCCAAATTAAATTAAAGAAAAAAAAGAACAAAAGGAAAGCTTGTTGCCATATGGCCGACAAAATTCACAATTCAGCACTCTCAAGCCACTGCTCGCGGTATTCTTGAAATTGGTCACGGGGTGCCTGAAATTTGATGCCCTGGCCACCACGGACTCAAAATTCCATGAATACAGCCCCCTGCAAGTGTTGCACTTCGAAAAAGCGACTTTCGACAGGCACCATGAAGACTTTATTTGCAAGTGTGATCAGGCAAGTACAATGCCCACTCAACTTGACCTGAGGAACGGTGCAGATCTGCTGGAGACTATCTTTGAGGAGGGACACACAACAGATCTTTCAATAGACGAGTGAAAAAGAGGGAGGAAGAGGATAATGTGGAGCAGAAGACTCACTTTGTAACCTTCTGCGATCTTACAGAAATCGGGATAGATCTCTGCCTCACACTCGGGGTCCCCCAGGTATGTGTGGGCACGATTGCCCTGCATCCACAGATCCAAACAGGTTACATGCTCGTTATCAGTCCGTACATCCATTCTTAACCACAACTGGCACGCGCAAACAAGAGAGAGAGCACATCACAACACCTGAAACCTCACCACTGAAAAGTTCATCTGCACTCCTTCAAAATAAGTATTCCTGTGGACATGTCCATTACACAAACTTCTATTCCTCACCCATTCATTCCACACCTATGTTCATCCATCATTTTCACCACGAGGCTTATGCCTCCGAACAGAGCCTGTGTGATGGGGTACCTACATGTTCAGGTTGCCAGGAGGCTTATGCATCCGAACAGAGTCTGTGTGATGGGTTACCTACATGTCCAGGTTGCATATGAATCGCGACTCTCTTCAGCAAGGGTACCAGTTCATATAGGCTGTAGGGTACGTGTTCTAGACATGTGAACAGCACAAAAAACCTAAATTCTTATGTTGTAGACTGCCTCTAAATATGTCAACAGCACAAAAAAACTCTGGGCATCCATAGGCTAAAGACTCTGCCTCTAGACATGTGAATAGCACCAAAAACCTGCATTCACACCCATGTGTCATCCGTGGACGTATCTGAGCAAAATTATAATCAGACCTGACGTACATGTCCAGAATCAGTCGAAGAACTAATTTTGTTGAGAATTCCAATTTTGAGTCTGTTACCTGTGTTTCCTATGTCTGTGATCAGCTGATGTTGCTTGTATGCTGTGCAGTTCCCTGCTGATCTCTCTCATCCGTTAAAATTGGAACGACACCGATCAATCGAAAAATGGTCCACTACAACGCCACCCCCCACCTCTCTCCACTGAGTGAATCTTATGCTAGAAAATGGAAGCATACATCGCCACATCTTTTGTCTATTGTGCATGTGGAGAGTAGTGGAGCGAGACTCCAGCTGTACATAGCATTGGAGCAGCCGCCCCACTACTGGCTGTGTGTAACATTCGAACAGTGTAGTCGGAAGTCTATGCAAGTTGTGGAGCGACGATCCGCCATGGCCATCACCCGCCAAGACCCGCAATGTGCCTCCAAGATCCGCCATCGCAGTAAGCCACCAAGAAGACCTCCATGTAAGGCACAGGCAGAGGCACAGACAGAGAGAGAGAGAACTGCAGGGAGCACACACTTGAAAACGAGCATGGCACTGCAGGCGGGCATGCA